GTCCGACAATTACTTTAAAATTTCTCGTAGGCAGGTAGAAAGAATAAAACTGAGTCGAAAAGTCCTGAACCATTTTTTTCTATTATATATAATAAAGGAGTAATTATTGAATAAATCAAGCCAATCAGCGCCGATCTTTAGCCGAACGCACGTCAGTGAACTACGCGCCTGGTGTGCGTGAGCGCTCCGCGTGGCTTACTGACGTGCGCCCGGCTAAAGGTTGACGCTGATTGGCTTGATTTATTCAATAATTACTTATTTATTATATATAATAGAAAAAAATAGTTCAGGACTTTTCGACTCAGTTTTATTCTTTCTACCTGACTACGAGAGATTTTAAAGTAATTGTCCGACACCCTGTATATTATATATAATATATTTATTAGTATTATTATGTATGTTTTGCAGTTGCATAGCCGCATGGAGCGATTTAGAAGAGTTAGTATTGTCCGGAAACAGATTGCAGTATCTTCCGGACAATGTAGCAAATCTGCATCACTTGCGCGTGTTGCGTGTACACTCGAATCGCCTCTTAACGTGTCCCACCTTCAGTAAAACAACGTCCTTGAAGGTAAACATACACGTATTCTAAATACACATGAATATAAATGACACAAAATTTATATAAAAATATAGAAAATTTCATTAATATGTGATGCAAACCAAACGTCCTATGTGAATTTTCGAATTAAATTTAATTCGAATTTCGATGTGTATTAATTTAAACATTTAAGAAAAGTTTTAAAAAATATATATTTATATTTGCACAGATTCAGCATACAGGCTCGTATTGACATTAATACTTAAATTGAGGAAATTTTCTCGAGCACATTTAAATTGTTGTAAAAATATAAAATTCGCCTAAACTGTGTAATACTTGTTTCCAGGTACTCGACATGGCACATAATCAGTTGGATAGAATAAATCTAGCTACTCTAGTACCACCGCAACTGCAATTTCTTGATATATCTTGCAACTCTCGACTGCATGTAGATCCGCGACAGTTTCAAGTCTACAGATCTCAGAGACCAATATCGTTAGTAGATGTGTCTGGACAGAACAGGCCTAGTTTGCCGTCTCATCCGCATCAGCAAGAAATTGTCGCGGCTGAAAAGAGTGTCGAACAACCGTGGCGAGTCGGTTTCTCAGAAACTTCAGGCTCGCGTGAAAAGTATGACTTTCAATTTTTATGAGAAAAATAAAAAAAATTTGTTTTTGAAATTTAGAAATAAATATATAAAAATGGAAGTAAAATTGACTAGCGTTATATTTTTATTTAAAAAAAATTGCAAATTTATTGGCGGTTGCTTTTTTGGAAAAAAATATCTTTTGCAAAAATATAAAGCAAAGAACTTTACAGATATATCAGAATGTGCATTTCTTATGCATGTTTGTACGCAGGCTATACATTTCCCAAGTGCGGATGCCGTCTTTCTGCAACGTCGAAGGTTTGTTTGGCATATTTGACGGTGGTTCTAATCAAGAAGCACCTAACGCCCTTCAAGAGATGATACCCCGTCTCTTGCTCGAGGAACGAACAGTCCGGGAAACGTCAAAAGAGTACCTGAAATACACTTTACTATCAGCACACAGAGAGCTTAAAGAGAAAGGTCAAAAATATGGCATTGACGCGACTCTGGTCCACGTGATAAAACTACCGTCGCAACATGGATATCCGAAGGCTCCAGCCAAATATTCTCTGAAGGTGGCTTCTTCCGGTGAAGCTAAAGCCGTTCTTTGCAGAGCCGCTGGTCCTTTGACTCTTGCCACGTCGAAAACATCGAAATCGATCAGGAGTCAGTTGGGTAACGCCGCTATGTTTCCTCTGGCGGTGCCCGATCCTGTATTCGAGGAAGTAACGTTAGAGGACGATGATGAGTTTATTATAATCGCTAATCGGAGATTATGGGAAGTTCTAAGCGTACAAGAAGCTGTGAGAGAAGCTAGAGCCGAGGCCAGTCCGGTTTTGGCAGCTAAACGGCTTCAGGATCTAGCGCAGGCTTATGGTGCGGAGGATAATTTGAGCGTCGTCGTCGTCAGGTTGACGGGACCAAGTCCGGCTGATATGGATCAACTCATGCGAGAGCTCAGACACGCCGTCGGTAAAAACAGAAGCCAGACTGACGGCGTGTGTTCTTGTCCTTGTTGTGTGCCGGCGACGGCGCACAAGCCGCCAACGGCCTGCTGCTGCCACACGAACGAAGGCTATTATCTAAATGGCGTATTGAAGAATATAGTTGGCAGGTAAGAGTAGTAAGATAATATGTTTAAAATTTTTTACAAAGCTTGACGACAAATAACTCACTCAATATTGTGAATTTATACACAATTAATAAAATAAAAAAAATAAATAAAATTGTTTTAATTTTCACTAGAGAAAATGAGAATTAAAAAAACTTGTATTACTATATTATTTATTATATTTTTTTTTTGTTTGACACTCATAGATCCAACAAGGTTCACGGTGGTTCTGGAAGATATTTCAAAAACTGTAGATCAACGCAGGAGAATGAGAGTCCTCCTTATAGAGATGACCGCAGCTCGCCGAGTGGGCAATCTGATCAAGCTAGCGATAGCACTTTCAAGTCTCGTCATCCATCGGGAAGGATGTGGTCTGGAAGCGCAGCTTCTAGAGCGACAAACAAAGCTCATCAAAGCGTTCTCATGCAAGAGAACGGAACGCGAAAGGTAAAATCTGACTCTTCTTCGATACTTGTTTTCTGAAAAAAAAAAAAAATTATACGTAATATGTGTAATATAAAAAATAACATCTGTAAAATATAGTTTTTTTTTCTTTAATAATTTTCTCAGGTATCATCTTGCTTGTCTGCGCAAGAGGACACTGTGTCAGAGAGATCCGGGGCTCTTAGCGAGGAGCAATTCCGTTGTTGGGAGTACATGCTTGAGCAGAACACTCAACTGTTGTTCGACAAGGAACTAGACACGCTTACAAAAGCGCCGTTGCATCGAGGCCAATCAAGGTCGACGCCCCAGCTAGGCGGCAACTTGCCCTTTCTATCGAAGAGATTTGGCAGCGCCAGATCCTTCAATCCTTCGCTGCCGCGACCACCGGTTGTTCGTTTCGGCAGCGGTCGGAGATTGTTGAACGGTGGACCGAACGCCGCTTACTTCGGCAGTCTGCAAAGATTGATGCCGTACAATCTTGAATACGACTTCGCGGTTATTCAGGAGAGAAACGGCATGGATTCGTTGGAGCAAGACGCTACAAGAATGCAGCAATATTGGGGAGTGGCCACTACCGAACTATGAACGAAGATCTGCTACTAATTAGAAACAACATGTAAAAACTTGCGAAAAATTTACGGCGATCTTTATCCTGTGATAAAGTGCTCAAAGTTGAATTCTACTCTGGAAAAAGTTATTTTCTATCAACTTTTTTTTTTGTCATTCTTTTCGCGTCTCTATTTGTAGGATAAAATAAAATTTCAATTTATAAAGTTGTTTGCTGAATCGTAACACGGATAGATTATTTATGTTTGACACGCGCGCGCGCGAAGTGCGTCTGAATGTCAGGTAGATTAATTTATTTCGAAAAAGTTAACGACAACTGTGCTAAATGCAACTCTCCGTAATAATTTAATCATTTATTCAGAGAAATACTCCCGAGAGTAATTAATATAACGCACGAGAGAACTAGTCGCGTCACAATACACAAGCGCGTATCATTCTATTTAATGCTATCGATCGTTCTGATAACAATCGCGCGCTAAGATGTTATAAGGATTCTTTCAATCTCGCGCAACAAAAAAAAAAGCAAAATTTATATCGTATTGCAACTGATACGTCATATAAAAAAAGAACGAGCGCGAAGAGTGTAAACTGTACAATGCTCGTTTTGTCTTTTCACAATGATTAATAGATATATGCGAAAAACGTGGATGCGCTGCTATATTGCGAAACTATTTTTTTTTATTTTTTTTTTATTTCTTTTTTTTTTAATTTTTTTTTTTGATGCGTAACAATAAGAAACTGAAAGAACACTAAGAACCGAGAAACATACGTGTATGTGTCGCAGTTAATGTGTGAATTCAGGAAGTGTACACACTTTACTAATCAATGCATGCGCCTATCAGTTGGATAAGTAAACATGTTCACAAAAGCAATGAAATTTAAACTTTTACCAGTAGATGCATATATCTTCACATCTTTAGATTTACTGAGAATATGAATAAACAAAAATGCATCAATTTAACGCTCGTTTTAACCATCTTTGATTAACTTCATCGGCCGATTATTCCATTGGAATTGCCAGTCGCATTAATCGTTTAGCAGAACGGATCAATCGCGACTGATGCTTAATCGCTGATTTAGTTAATCGGAAATGGTGGGAACGAGCGTTAATCAATATTTTTCCTAGCAGATGTGCACATCAATTACATAAATGTATAACGTATAAAACATGAAAAAAAATTGCATTGGAATTTCCACGTAATATTTTCGAGTGCCTTGATATTTTCTACACTCTCAAAAGTTTTGTTATTTTTGTTTACGTGGGAGAGTATAAGAAAATAAGCGGAACAGATAACGTTCCCTATAACCGTGTATTTTTCAAGCTTATCTCACATGATATGCTCTTTTACTACTGTAAAACCTATAACAAATGTTTGCATTGTTTAATAAATGAATACATACATTTACTAGGAATAGTAGCACTTTTATGTTTAAGTTGATGCTTTTGCTACAATTTTATATAAATGCATACATTGGCTAGAAAGTGTATAGATTTACTAAAGTTTGCACTTTTACTGTAACATATACATCAAAAACACAATCTTTTGAAAAACACTGATTTCGCGAATTTATTAATCGGAAGATCAAGACGACAAAATATTATTTCATGAAAAATTCTCTCATACTTTCATTAATGTGTCGATTTTTTTTCACAATCTTTTATAATGTTATGTGTCTGTTAATTTATATCTTTATCATATACATTTAGCTTTATGTAGCGTATCGTATCTTTTTTTTACAAATTGTAGAATTATTTTGTACAAAATGTAGAAATTTTAGTGTATAATAATATATGTAGATACAATTTTTAAATATATTTTTTTATAACATTAAAAAAAATTTCTCTTGTGTGTGTGTGATATATGTATTTATCACGTGTTTGTTAAATTAAGTCTTATCGCGATATCAGATGATTAGCAGTGTTATCGTAATTTAATTTTCTTCAAAATATGTCGAAAGTATCACAAATTTATCGTTGCTTCTCTCTCTCTCTCTCTTTCTTTTTGCCATTAATTTTATATGTATATTAAACTATTATGATACTGAAAGAGCACTATCGACATGCAATTGTTTACACATTTTCAGTAGCAACACTTCACTTCAGCCACATAGGCTGAATGATTCATACTCGAATCTTGTATTCAAGATCGTCTTAAGTTCATCTTTTCAGATGCACTGTAGCCAATAAAATGGCCCACATTTTAAAATGAACTTAAGACGATGTTTAGAGATAAGATCGGACTATAAGATCGTACATAGTTCATTTTATATATTAATAAATACACAAAATCTCGAGATTTTTGAGTATTGTGTACACACAGCGCGTGTCAAAAATTCGCAGAATAGACATTTGCCCAGCAAACAGTTTCTGACTGAACGCAGACCTGCCAACAGAAACTGTGTGCAGAAACGCTACAATACGGAAACATACTTTGTGTGCTGCCAAAGCTGTTAACACACAGACACAAAAAACGCAACATGGTCACCAAAACTCACCAAAACCATATCCTACCGAGGACACAGATGTGGATATGGATTTGATGTGGCGGTTGGCTTACAAAATCGCGACATCTGACAACCAAATTGTTTGCTGGATGGAATTCTAAAAAACAGGAGGTGCGGTTTTCCTTGCGGTAAATAATCAGTGCAGTTGTGGACAAGCGATTGTTACAGTCAATTGTGGTGTACGGCGTTTGTTAACGCTATTTATTTCTAAGAGAAAACGACCCTCTTGCCCACGTCTACTCTGCAAATTTTTGACGCGCTGCGTACGGTGATAAAACTCGCGCGCCTTTTGTGGGGAATCATCTTCAACAATTCAATGTTCGCAGGTTTTGATAGATAAGATGGGAAGGAGATAATCTGTGGACGACATTCGATCAAACAAGCCAGATCAGTGTTTGAGTTGTTGTCGCGAGAGAATAAGGTAAACTGAAGAAGAGTCGGTGAAAAATGGACACTTTGGACGTGTCGAGGAAAAAAAATGTCGAAGGCGAAATTCAAGGTATCGAAACATTGATAAAGACAATAAACAGCATTCCTCTTGTATATGTGGCACGTATACATAACGGCTTATATAAGATCACATACTTGTGTTGTATATCAGATTAAAGACAAGCAGATCGGAGTCTGTGTGATTCGTTAGTTTATTTCTTTTTTTTTTTTCCGACTGCTTTTATACAAGCGACGATCCAATTTTTTTTCAAAGTTAACAAAGAAACAATTTCAAGTGTAATTTCTTTTCTAATCGATCGAGCACGCGATCCGCTAACTGTTGTTACAATGAGGACGCACTTCTTTCTGTACATACCTGTTAATCATTGTGTTCTTTTTTACCGATAATAAACACTAACATCGGCTTCGTTTCTACTTATCGGAGATGCTGCAATTGTATTTATGCGTCATACGAATTCTTTGGTAACAAAGCAATTAGAATTATATTCGATATTTTGATCATATTGGTGAATAAATTCCCACGTGTGTAAATAGTATATATATACTATATATATATATATATACTGTTTATATATATATATAATATATACTTATTATATATATATGTAAATATATATATTATATACCCTAGGATAGGAAAACATTTACAAAATTATGTGACGAAATCTTGCACTAAAATTTTAATTTGCAATTACACATATATAGCTTAGGAAATAGATGTAAAAACATTGATTCTTTATAAAATATTTGTAGTTGTATGCAAAATTACTTTCCAAATACTATTTCGACAAAAGAATAACGATATGGCGAATCATCTTAGCGGTATATTTGCAGAATTAATTTCAAAAAGAAATTGTCCAATAATTGAGGAAAAAATTTCAGCTCTATGTGATGTTTAAAATATGTAGAGAAATATAATTGCATAAGAAATCAACTTAATTCATGTATATACTTATGGAAATGCATAACGACTTTTTCGCAACTTTTGACAAATATTATTTACAAAATTTTATTTCGACAAAACTGTTGCGTTATGGCGAATCATCTTAGTGCACAACCATTGCAGGATCGTCGTCGTTATTCATGATGCCATTTTTGTGCAATATTTTTACAATTTTACTATCAGGGTATATAATATGTAGACGTGATACATATAAAGAGAAAAATGTGAAAAAAATAACAATTCTCAGAATGAAAATGAGTAAAATAGGACAATGACACTGAAAATACACTTTATTTCATCATTTATTTCATCATTTATCGCTTTATCTCTAATAAACATACGATATTAAAGTGACTTGACAATGTTCGCTCATTGAATTACAATTTTTTTTATCTGCCGCGAACATGAATTGACTTGTCATGAATTGACAGTTTGTAGACATAAATATTGCTTACGCAACTTGAAAAAGACTTAACTATCAACAATGCTCCCGCAATGTCGACTGGAAAATTATGATTTTATTGCTTAGATAAAAACAAATAAAAATGCAAAGCAAACTCTAATTTGACAGTAAACAAAATTAAAATCAACATACACATTAAACATAAATAAATTCAATTTCATTTTACTTTTGTTGAGATATAATTTAACAACTAATAATTTAAATGTAGAAAATTTGATTTGCTAATTATTCGAAAATATTAAACAAATGAAATAATATATTGATGTAATAATGAAAAACGCAAATAGCAGTTGAAATGATTTAATTTAATTAAAAGAATAAATTTAATGATTTAATTTAACGAACTTTAGATTAGCGGTAAACAAGAATTTTCTTATCTTGTTGAAAAATGTCGAGTATCGCATCCGTTTGTTAATCGCCAATAATTGGGAATTGTTCTTATGCGATGATAATAGCCTTCTGTATTTCGAGACAATGTCGTTTATCGCAAACGGATTATTGCAATTAATACAACAAGTGCGATAAAAAAAAAAACGGCGAGTAACAAAGAATAAGATAAAAACCATAGCGAACGCCGCTACCGGCTACATAACGTGTGCGCACATAACTGTCTCTTTTATTAAATTCGCCGATCACAAAAAGTACATAGCGACAATGTAATATATCATGACCGGCAAAACACACGCATACTTTGTAACGTAATTTTATATATTGGACAGTTTCTACGGTTGTGTGACACAGTTTACGATATGGCTCTTTTGATCGACTTAATACTAATAAATTGGTCCGTGACCCAGTTTGAACAACTGCCAAATTGCGAGATAATTGCTTTCACCACTATTTAATTAAATACACTGGTTTCTCACAAGAGATATTCGCGAAGAGATGTACCGTGTGTATTTTAAAATATCAAAGTAACTCTGGAATTTTTTCTTACACAAGATATGTTTGAGAACGATTCGATTTTCTTTATTTTTTATCCATATAGTCTTGTAAATATTTATATTTTGTTTTAGATCATCCAGACAATCAGATAAATGCCGAAGGACAAGAAGAGGTGAGATTAAAGCGCGCGCGCGCGCGCACACACACAACAAACAACAATTTCTTAACATACCAATATTTGAGAAATACAATGTTCTCAATAACATATACGAATTACACAATAAATATATCTATCTCAAGTCTACACACATGTATGTAGGCTTGAGATAGATAAGATTTATAGATCTACGATAAAGAAAAAAAACGTCACACACAACAATGAGTCGTGTTTCATTGTGTGAAAATAAATTTTAGTTTTTTTTCGACGTTTTCTTATAAAGAAAACCTAAACTTTCGGAATTATCTTTGCTTATCGGTAACTTCATTTCGAAAACGTATCACTATTATTATTGCGCGCTTAAATACGTTCTTGTTGCATAATTCAATGATGATGACGCGGCAATTCTAAGGAACATTTTCTCAAGAATTAACGCTGTCTCTCTCTCTCTCTCTCTCTCTCTCTCTCTCTCTCTCTCTCTCTCTCTCTTTCTCTCTTTTTCCTTCTTTCTTTATCTTTTTACGTAATCCCGTGAAAAGTAAAGATCAAGAACTATCGGTGATCTGTTGTTGGTAAGCACAGTTTCACGATTTTCGACGTTGCAAAATTGTCACGCGTATAAATGCGTACACTGATGTGTTTATTATATATTCATTTATCTTCTTGCTCGCAGTTCTATTGAGCAAGTTCTGTTCTTTCTGCATTGCATATCGTTGCGATTACATTCCATGCCATGCATTTCATTATCTTTTTAATACAAATTATCAATTATATATATATATATATATATACATATATTACATAAACGAATTTAAATGCTTTTATATAACAATTGTCTTTCTTTGTTATCTTTTCTGCTTACTTCTGCGAAAGATAAACAAATGATATGCCCCTAATACTTTGTACAGTCTTTGTATCTTACAATTAGTACTTTGTTCTTTACAATTACTGAAAAAAAAAGGATTTAACAATGCAGATAACATAAGTAAGAGACAGCACGTATGCGTCATCTTAACGATCTAGCAATTATATATCGCGTTCTCTTTTAAAATTATACGCTTATCCAGTTTAAATATAAATACAATCGCGTTTACACAAATTGTAATTTTCCTCGTGACGCGGATATTTATTCGAGCGTTAGCGTCAATAGCGATTTGTTGTGTTTGAAATTTTGCTCTCCATTTTGATTTGTAGTTGCCAATTTTTTTAACGCGGTCAAAATTTAAGCATAATTTATTTAGTCAAATTGAGCGTTGTTTACTCGGTTACATATCAGATTGATTATCAAAATATATTTTTACGTATATTTGCCATCGGATAATATTTGTTAAATCATTGGAATACGTAATGAGAATTATTTAAGCCTTGATATATATTGTATTTAAATTGTATTTATAATTTATTATTTAATTGTTTTTTTTTTTTGGAAAAAAGACGTAACAACTCGCGCGCTTTCCAATCGTAAACCGAAATATCTTTTTACCGTCCATGCACACTTGCACCAAAACGATCTGAGAAAACGATCCCGACAGGTCGCGTAACTCGCGTAGCGGATACTTTCACGTTGTTCCAAATACTTGACTCACCGTCACCACGTTTGGATTGTACGGTCTGCGACTCGTGACACAAACCGCACAATGTCACACGCGTGCATACTGTTTCTTCCTCGATCCAATAGTGCTCGTGGTAGCACTTTACTGCCTCTACTCTGGTAGCCGCACGTTCATTTCCAGTTGCTGTTGTCAGTCTCGATGTACGAGCGTGTACGTACAGAACTGTCGAAGTCGCCGCCGCCGCCGCCGCCGCTAACGACGACGACGACGACGACGATCTCCAAAGTTGTCGCTTTCCTCGATCGTTTCGTTATTCACATCTGGCAAAAAGCCACCAGATGAAGCAATCGTGAAATAATCGATATATAAGTCACCGATTGATCGCTCGATCGCGATACTACCGCAGCTGCGCGATAGCTGTCACTAAAAATGGATGCGCAGGTAAAACAGGTAAAACTTTGTTGTTTTAATTAAGCACGTTCACCGAATTATTGATTTTCTTAGGATTTTCTTTAAATTTGCGGCATACATAGTTTATGATCTATTTATACGTAGCCTGTGTTTGGATAATAGAGGTAGCAATGTTAAATTCCAAAATATGGAAGATTTATATTTTTAACATGGATTTCCTATGCTGAGCCTTTGTGAAAAGTGGGGTTTTTTTTTAAATTACTGACGACAATTTTCTTAGGATTTTTTTAAAAAACAAGTATGTGCTGGTGGAGAGTGTTCTAATTAAAATACGATTTTGAATAATATGGCAAGCAACCCTTTTTTTCAAACTAGCTTTTTTTTTGTTTTTTTTTGTTTTGCTGGATTTATGTGCGCTGCGCACCGCAGCTAGTTTTGAACTTCTGCGCAGAGTAAGCGGGTCTTAGCAGTGCTGAATAGCTCAACTTAACTTTGTTAGCAGCAGTAAAAACTTACTCATGAGAAGAAATATTTTATATTGCTAACCACTGTATTTAGGTTGCTAACCACTGTAGTCGGAGAAAACACTGTAGTCCTTAAATAAAAAAGAGGAAAAGGTCAAATATAGAGAGCTAGCAGACTTGATTTTTGTGCGCAAATTTGTATTCTTTCAATTTTCTGTGGTGACATAGAAGCACATTTTGTCGATCTTAAAAAAAAAAAAAGATTGTTTTATTTGTACGCCCTGCAGTCGCTCTAACAATCGCTTGCAACACTCGACGTTAGATAACTTCAGACCCAACTTCACAGTCACAGATTGTACGTTCCTGTCTTTCCGGATCTGATTAGATACAAACCGGTTTTGGGGTTTTTTTAAAAGGAATCTTAAAGAATGTTAAATAAACACTGAGAGTGAAACTGTAGAACACTTTCGTTGCAAATAGTTTGTAGAATATACTAACAAAGAATATAGTAATTTACATCTGTAGAGGAGCGTAGTGTAAAAAACTTGCGCAAATAAAAATTTGTACATTCTGATTTGTTTTGGAAAATTTGTTTTGCGTTTTCAATAAGATTAAATTAAGTCAATCAAATCAAATCTGTCACGCACTAGTATATCTTTAGAGAACATAGATATATAATTATATATGTTTACAGCTCGTTGAATATATTTTTTTAATAAAAAGAAATAAGGAAGTGGCCATAACAAGCTAACACCAGATGTTCGGGTACAATTCTTTTATAATTCGAAGATTTAAAAAAAATTTTAACAAACGTTTCGATCCACTATGGGATCTTCTTCAGTGTGTACACGTTTGTTAAAATCTTCTTCTTTTTTAAAATCTTCGAATTATAAAAGAATTGTACCCGAACATTTGGTGTTAGCTTGTTATTGCCATTTCCTTATCTCTTTTCAATAAATATATGTTTTATATAGTTATATTCATTGTTTGCTTTACTTATTCTTTCTCTCTCTCTCTCTCTTTCTCTCTCTCAAAGATATATTTACCTTTGATTTTTTGCATACAGATAAAATGTCCGTAAAATTCAGATAGTTATAAAATTATCGTAACGAACGATGTAAATAATTTTTAAAAAATAATCAGTATTTCTTAAGTAAAGTAGTTGGTTCACAATATATAATTCATTCTGTGTCCCATTTATGTCAACGAACTTGATTAATTCTCTCGATCGCGGTCGACCAATAAACTTTCTCGCAGATACAATTTCTTCTGTTGATTTTCTAGTCTCCTATATATGTGTATGTACTCGTCGCACACACACATACACATCTCGATCTCCTCATTGATGGCTATCTTATTGATGGTTATCAAAATTATTAAAATGTTAAACATTTGATTTACAAAATTATTCAAGTACTACCACACCGATATCATCACATCACAGGCATTCGAATTATCTTTTTATATCTAGACGATGATATTTGCTTATTTTGACAATGTGTTCACATTATTTATCCAAATTCAAGGATATGACCAAACACAGATCAAACAAACTTTGTGTTGTTTTTAATTAGTTATAAGAATTTCTCTTCGCGCATTTTTTAACTTGTTTCCTTGGAACAGAAACGCGATGTAAACATCAAGGCTCTTTGTGATATCTACACGAACGACCTTGTTTCTAGAAATCCGATTTATCGTAAAAGCAATATAATTGCATTCATTATAAATGTTTATTTGCAAATTGCTGTTTTTGTCCCGTCAGAAACTTATTATACATTAGTAGATATATTCCATAGAATTATTATTACAGAAGTAGTATGTATTCTTCGATTATTTTAGAATTATTATATGTATTTTTAGATATTTTTTTAGTATTATAAAATATTTTGTAAAATGTGTTTTTTTTCAAATATTTAAACTTTATTTTTAACTTCTTATTAAAAAAACGTGTGTTATTAAAAATTTCTATGTTATTTTTATAGAATAATTTCTATGTTACACACACACACACACGCACATACAATGTATAAAATTTTTATATTTTTTTAAATATTCTTACGCAAAACACCTTCTAGATTGAGTTTTTAATTCTCTGAAGTTTACAAATTTTATCTTTTAAATTGAGATTTTGATTCTGAAGTTTACAAGTTTTTTCATAGATAAACACATATTAATGTGTTTCGCACAATATTAACGCGAGAGAGACGAATGTTCATGTTTCATAACTGAAAGATATTTTATGTGCAAACATAACCATTATTTCACGCAAAGTGTTATTCCACATACTCATTTTGTTATCTCGCCTTTTAAGTCTTTAGGTAATAAAATCAAGATGTGCAGCACAAATAATAGTTACTGTCCCGTCGCGGCCTTCACATTTCATGCTAGAAATGAATGTACCTGAATATATATTGTAAAACAATGATGGTGTTATTCAGGTCAATGGAATCACGCTAGATTCTTCAATACTGAAAAACAAATCTTTTTAGACTCGAGATGAGCATTAACAAAATCAAATTAATTATTTTCCAAAAACTTTTAGATATTTCAGAAGTTTTTATTTTACATATATGCAACATGATATTTGATGTGTTCTTTCGCGATGTGTTGTATTAACATTCGAAGAAGTTGTTTTCTTTCCCAGCTGTATTTAACGTACACATTGCATTTTGTTCTCTTTGCATCTAGTTTTGCAATCTCTTTCTCAAAGTTACATAATCGAAATAAATCTAAGTAAAGAGAAAACTGAAAGCTATTGTAGACTATTTAAAGATCTTTTGAATTTATATTAATAATATCAAAGTGTGTGTATGCGTTACGTTTGAATGTGTATATATATTTAAAAAACTTTGCAGAAGCTGAAATATCCCAAGTCGGTGTTCTTCATCGTCAGTAATGAATTCTGCGAGAGATTTTCCTTCTATGGAATGCGCAGTGAGTATATAAATCGTTAACATCAATTGAACGTATAGTTATCAATGTCAATTCTTGGCAAGTATACGGTCTAGTAATTTAAACAGTTCTGTACAATTAAAACAATTGCTCCTTTAGTAGCGCCAACTACGTGGCTGATGTAATTTTTAGTTACAAGCGCAAAAAGCGTCTTATATTGTGCATTATCCAATGTGTACTCTTAATTGAAAGAAAGATTGATTCTCTTATATATATATATAACAAAAATGAAAAATAATTCTTCTATATTGCAAAAAACCTATAATTTTTATACTTATTTTTTAATAATATATATTATGTAAAATTATATATATTTATGTATAAAACTTCTATATGTGTAATTGCATACGTAACATAATTACTTTTCAGCTGTATTATCGTTATACCTGACAACCATGCTAAACTACAATGAAGATACAGCCACGATGATCTACCACATATTTACCTGTTTTGTTTATTTTTTCCCACTGTTTGGTGCAATTTTGTCCGATTCATGGCTCGGCAAGTTCAACACTATTTTTTACGTGAGCATTATTTACGCAATCGGACAGCTGATTCTAGCCACGAGTGCGATACCTGTCACCGGACTCGGATTATTAGACGCAAGGTGAAAAAAAAAAAAACATTATTTAATAACATGTAGAGATTACTCATTACTATAATTATTGAAAATTAATTACATACACTGTCATATTAAAAAATTGGTTTTTATATTTATATAATTTTACAAAACTAACAGAGAAACATCCTTTAGTGAAGTTTCTTTAAAATATTATTTATGTTTCTTAATATAAAATTAATGTAAAATTTCTTAATATAAAATTATATATACAATGTTTCTTTTACCACAAAAATCCTAAATGGTTTTGATAAAGATGGTTTAAAAGAAGAATGGCTTGCATTATACAATATAACGATTTTATTACTGAGAAAAAAACAGAATCTTTTCAAAATAAATTTTAATAGTACGAGGAAAGAAAAAAAAATTTTCAAATGTCAATCTAATAATATTGCAAAATAATCCTAATTTGAAATCGCGCACTTCTATTAGATTATTACCACGTTCCAATTTACAAAACTCTATATTTTAATTTAAGCATTATTACAATATTATACATATAGATATATTTTTTTAAAGTTCCTCAATAGTCCGATATATTATATTTTACATAATTAGTTAAATTTAGAGATTTGGAAATGCTCTTTTTTCGTTTTGTCGACGATTTTAGACGTATATTTTCTCGCTTCCAAGAATACCGCATGTCTGCGGCAGTTATATCGAGGAATCTTAAATGCTATTAATTTTCAAGATTTTTTTTTCCAATTTTTACAACAAAAATTATAGTTTCATACTTTTAACATAATAATATCTTTTAATGTAACATTATTTTTCAGAGCACTTTCGTTATTTGGTTTATTCCTGATAGCGTTGGGAACAGGTGGAATAAAACCCTGTGTATCGGCCTTTGGAGGCGATCAATTTGTTTTACCTCAGCAAGAACGATACTTAACGATGTTTTTTTCCGTCTTCTACTTCTCCATTAACACAGGCTCTTTGATCTCCACTCTTCTCACGCCGACGTTGCGTGAGTTGGAATGTTGGAACGACAAGTGTTTTTCTTTGGCATTTCTGGTACCGGCTGTTCTGATGATCGTATCAATTGGTGAGATAAAAAAAAAAAAATAAAATCAATTTCTCTACTTAAAAAAAAAAAAATGTCTCGCACAAAATACTAGACTCTTATTTGATTCGCAATCTCTAATTGAGACGAGAATTTTGTTTTCAGTGGTGTTTGCCATGGGTAAACGATTGTACAAAATAGTCAAGCCTAAGGGCAATCTCATCGTTACGGTTTCTCAATGTATCGGCGTAAGTTTTGCACATATCTTTCTGATTCAGCATAAATCTCAAAATTTCATCTGTACAAATACTTGTACAGACAAAACTAAAAAAAGGCTTCAATTAATTTTCATTCTTCATAATTTCTTTTTGAATTTTTTATTGCGCAAATATTTACGTTTCCAAACGGTTACGTCTCTCCAAACTCAAAGGTCTCACAACAGAATGTATTTTACTAAATTTTCTTTCGCATAAATCAGCACGCGATCTACAATAAAGTGAAGAACAAAACGAAACGCGATCATTGGCTCGATCATGCTGATGATGTGTATGAAAGAACATTGATTGACGATATTAAGGCCTCGCTGCGAGTTCTGAAAATGTTCATACCGCTACCGATATTCTGGGCGCTGTACGATCAACAAGGTTCTCAATGGACGTTTCAAGCGACGCGAATGGACGGCCAGATAGGCAATTGGGTGTTGTTGCCCGACCAAATGCAAGCGGTGAATCCGCTGCTCATTATGATTTTCATACCTCTTTTCGAGACGTGCATCTATCCGATGTTTGCCAAGATACATCTGATCAATACGCCTCTGAGAAAGCTCGTTGTCGGCGGTTTTTTGGCCAGCGTGGCTTTCATCGCTGCCGGCCTTGTCGAATTAAAGCTTGAGGTAAACGGAACAAAAAAAAGTTTTTTTTGTTACATCACTTTTGAATTGCACTTGATCATTTGCATATCCACAACAGAGAATAAACAATTTCTACTTATCAGAGAGAGATTTTTTTTTTCAAATCTCTTTTTAAGTTAAAAAGATACAAAAACAACTAACGTAATGATAAGTTAAACAAATGTGAAATTTGATTTTACATAAATTGATTTTAGACAACGTATCCAATATTGCCGTCTGAGGGATTAGCTCAAATACGTATTTTCAACACAATGAATTGTACCGTACACTTAAAACTAGATATGCCAGATAAAACAAAAACTGCAACAATAAATGGATTAAAGATGTATGAAATGCTGTATGTGAAGGCGAATGAAACCGGTGTTACATTGCCCTATACAGCGGACTTTATAGACTGCAACTTGGCTGGTTACACCTCGTTAAGAGACAATGTAAAAGGTAAAACCTCAATAGAGTAATTTGAATAATATTGAACTGCGATGCAAATTTATGTATAAGTGTATACACAACCTGGCATAATTTTATATAAATACCTTTTTTCGCGCATCAGGAAACATTACGGGTAAGGAGGCCGACGCAACGTCTTGGATTATAACGCCGATTGGACTTGACGACAATAATAAGTACATAGACAAAGTGGACAAACCAGCAAATGGCAACCCGATGGTTCGTGGTGTCATTTATCTTACGGAGGAACACAGTAACGCTACCCTGACGTTCAAGTATAACAACGAAGTTACGACGTCGATACCTATGACAAAACTTAAGTCAAGTCTGGTGGAATTGGACAAACCGGGCGAGTATGATATCTACTTGGACAAAACTCTGCTGAAGAAAGCCGAAACCTTCAAACTCGGAGGAGTGTACACCGTATTGGGTTCTCTCGTGAAGTTACGAGACAATGATGTATTAGCCGCTAAAATAATAACAGTAACAAAACCAAACGAGGTGCACATCGCTTATTTATTGCCACAATACATCATTATCACAATGGCCGAAGTGATGTTCTCCATAACGGGTCTAGAATTCGCCTTCACCCAAGCACCGAAAAGCATGAAGTCCTTGTTGCAAGCAGGCTGGTTATTAAGTAATGCTTTCGGTAATCTCATCGTAGTAATCATAAAAGGCTCGCATCCTTTCCAGCGGCAGGTGAGCGGCGAAATTCGGATATTCCGAACATTTTATGACTGATAAATTATTAATTAAAAAACTTGTCATACAGAACTCGCTGTTCTGTTAATGTGGCGCTGTTATGGTCTATTATTTTTTTTTTTATAATTGTCGCTACATAATGGTGCAAATATTTTTTCTTAAATATAAATTAACACATATTGCACAATCTAATTTTTAAATTCAATTAAAAAATCTATCTATATATCTATCTTTGTATAATCTATAGATGTTCAACATTCTTACATCACTTGTTTTTACAGATGTACGAGATTTTCTTGTACGCCGGTTTAATGGCGGTGGTCATGGCAATATTCACTGTGATGAGTATATTCTACAAATATGTAGACATACCGGACGAAGAGGAGGATGGAACTACATACGGAGCCATACCTCTAGATGAAAAAAAAGGAAATGATAATCCGGCCTACAAAGAGGATGAAAAATGACAATGAGGGAAACGGTCGAGTTAGAAATTTTTGTGTGTGTTCGTGTTAATCAAAAAACAACAATAATGAAGCGATAGCTCTATGAAGCATGAAATATTGGTTCCCGATTGGTGAATCGAGAACTCGCTCATTTTTATCGAATTTATTTTAATATTGTTTCGGAATTTGTTTTAAATTGCAAAAGTTGTGTAGGAATTTTTTTCCTGATGCATAAACCTATTTCTCTCAAATCAAAATTATATAGGCAAATTTTTATAAATAATTGAAGATAACTATATGTATATATGTGTATATATAAATATATATACACATACATGTGCCCGCCAAAAGTGTGTTCCGGGCCACCTAAATAATTTCTGAATAATTCAAGATATTGGATTGAAATTTATAGGGATAAAATGGGATCACAAAGTCTATCATTTAACCACAAAAACACTTATCTCCTAAACTCTCAATGGAAATGTTTAAATGATCATAACTCTGCGAAAAAAATCGTAGAGACTTTGACGACCCCGCGTTGTTCTCGTCTCGGAAAGCCCTTTCAAAGCCCTTTCACGAGCTCTCACTCGACTCAACATGCCGTTTAAGATTTTCCGATCCCCTTCTTCCTCCACGGTAGTGCAGAGATAAGTGTTTTTGTGGTTAAATGATAGACTTTGTGATCCCATTTTATCCCTAGAAATTTCAATCCAATATCTTGAATCATTCAGAAATTATTTAGGTGGCCCGGAACTTTTGGCGGGCACATGTACGTGTATATATATTGTATATGTAAATATACATATGTATATATAAATGTTTCCAAGAATAAGCATTTAAAAAATGTTAATTATTAATATTCTCAAAAGAATAAGCAACAGAATACCTCATATCTCAGAATGATGATTCAAATCATAAGAAATATATTTTGTGAATAAGTATACTAATTTATTCGCTAACTGTGAATAAGTATACTAACTTTTTTAACAATTTTTGTTTTTTCTTAAAATAAATAAAATGAAAAAATTTCATTCTAGCAAACTATTAATAAAATTTGATTTTCTTTTTAATTGTCGCGAATGACAAATTTATTCAAATTTTTTCTAAAAGACAATTAGATTTTTATATGTAAACGACTGTAAGTAGATTTTTTTTACACGTTTTACAACGGTATACAGCATTCTAGAAGCTTGTTTTTGTTTACAATTTATTTAAATATCTTAATAATTACATAATGCGCTTTAGTTGTCAATCTTCCCTTTTCCGGTTTACTTCTTCATCAAAACGCGCTAAAAAATAAATTATGTGAATAACTATTGTGAGTATGAAGCTTACTAAGTCAACAAAAATATGAGCGGTCAAGTATTACATATCAATTAAAACATTTAGGCTGTTAAAAATAAATTTTATGTAATAAAGAATTATTATATGTAGATTAACAGTCTTAAGTAAGAAATGTTTTAAATTAAAACATAAATTTTTATGTTAAAAAAAGTACACAATAATTATTTAAAGTGGTTTGTAAGATATAAAGTGTTAAAAATATGAGGATTATGAATGTGTGTGTGTGATGTAACAAAAGTGCAATAGGGAATATTTAAACTAAAAAATTCTTTCGTCTACAATATTTATTTCTGCAAATCTCAAAAGTTGTTCACAAGCACAACGTAACAATGTGCATTGCGTTGTCTAATTTCATAATACATGTATGATACTTATGGGAATGCATACATCGATTTAACATTCAAAATCATTGAATTTCTTGCCAAATATTTAATCACCTTTATAACAACTGCATTCCGTGAAAGATTGTAATATAAACATGCAATTATCCGAATAAACATCCAAAATATTCTTTGTTTAATTACTTTAAAACCACTGTGTTTGTTTTTTGCATTTTTAAAGTTTAAATTCGAGTTTTGTATATAATATTAAGGCTCTTCTCATACAAATGTCAGAAGCGAAGAAATATAAGGGCCGAAACGTTTGTCTTTTGTTAAATTTTATTTGCGTTTTATTTGCATTTTGTTTCTAAATAAATTTTAAGATCTACTAAAAGCTCGCGCGAAACAGACCTTGTTATATATTTTTCTATACTTATTGTTTTACAGGGTGAATTTGATCAAAATGTTCACTATGTTATTCCAGACATGCCTATATATATGTAATCTTTGTGCGGAAAGCTTGCTGAAATTTCTCCTTTAACTCTTGAACGGTTATTTTGCAAAAAATATTGTGTATTCTTCTATCATGTTTCCTCGAGTATAATAGGATGTTGAAGATAAGCTAGCTTTTTCACTCTTCTTTTTTCAAGCAAGCTTTCCACAAAGATTACATGCATGTCTAGAACATGGTAAACATTTAGAATACTTATTATAATAGTAAAACAATTTTTTATTTTGACTAATTTTGTTTGTCTCGACAACGGATGAGGTTTCAAAAGATACTTTAATATAAAAGTTATTAACTCAGTACTATCGACAGAGTGACTCAAAAGTACCCTTTTCATTAAAAAAAAAAATTTGATTCATAATGTGAAAAAAATTTTAAAGGCCATTCAAGGTCACCATAGTATTTCCTTCTTTATATCCTACAATTGTGATAATGGATGTTTTTCCTTACCTCTAACCGTTTTTCGAATAAAATGTGCTGATCATTTTATCAGACTCACTTTTTTGTACGTCTAAAATTACTACGACTTATGTAAATCTAAATATTTTTATACAAACTCACGTGAAATTAATAGAACAGACTTGTAAAATATACCAAACGCTCTTCTTTCGGTTCGATAACAAAATTATACGAGCAAAATCGAATCGACATCGAAATGATGCGTGTCACACAATGACTACAGCGACTTGTGGAAGAGCCTTAATATGTACATAATATTATAGATAATATATTTTAGTATATTTTATATACATATATATATATATATATATATACTCTATATATATATATATATAAATAAATATATGTATATATGTAACTTTATTCGACTAATATATATATACTAATATAATATATATATATATATATATACTTTATTTGACTAATTTACAATACTCGAATTATAGTATTTAAAGTTAAATAATTAGGTAATCAGATATTTAATTAATTAAATATAAATCGCTCATCTAAATCTTATTTTACAATCCTAGTGTTTATTCGTCATCTAAAACATTAACTACAAAGAGAAAAATTGTGAATAGTTAACTTATTAATTTACAGTAAATTACAAGTGATCAAAAAGAACTTTCTTTTATCGCATTTCATTTCGTTCGGATGCTTAACAGTTTTTTTATTCCGTTTTTATTCTAAAATCAGATAATAAGTTTGTTTTTAAGCTTTACTCGTTTACAATATAATGCGTTAACATTAAGGACGCATTTTTTTTTTTACTATTTCAAAACTTACCGTGATTTTCTATTGTCGCACTTTGTCTCGTCTCGACGTTTAACAGGTTCTTCTTTCTAAAAACAGCAATTTTATTGCAGTTTTTCTCGCACGAATGCTTTAAAAATTTATACCAATTAAAGATATAAATTCTTTTTCTATTACTTACCGTGTGTGCTCGTAGTTTATCGAACATTTCGCGCGCGGTGTCGTAAGCGAAACATCCGACTTGCGTTGCCGCAGTAACCAACGTTTCCGGTAGGATGTGGACTGGATCAACGGTGCTTAGCTCGTTTAGTTCGTTAATGAACAGCGTTTTTGATTTTTCAGAAGACTCGTTTGGTCGGTCAGATTCACTTTGCGCAATATTATTATGTGACGTGCAAGGAATAATATTATCTGAGAAGTATTTTTCAAGGATTTCCGGCAAGTTGTAATTACAATCGACACATTCTTTGTTACCGCATGTGTACGGGGCAACCACTGTTAATAGACAACGCCAACACATGCCACAGGATGGTGCGTCACGATTGTCTTTCGTTGCTGTTTGTACATCTTCATTGACTATTGAATGTTCTATCTTATTTTGCGCATGACGATACCTAAACATATTCCATGGTTCGACATGAACAGTTGCGTCGGTGATCGACGTGGTATGCGAATGGAAACTTTGCGTAACATCATTCGAGGGATGTGACTGAACGCTGCATTGCGATTGCGTCTCCGAACCGCAGTAAGATGGTACGCTCAGATAACTTGCATGAGAATCCTTCATGTCGTCGTGTGCACCGTAGTTCATACATTTGTTCATCGGACATTTGAGAGATTGAGGAGTTTTCCGTTCTTCCGATTGCTTGACATCTAACAACTTCGAAGGACATGTCATTGTAGAATAAAGTTTAAGAGCCGTCATTGAATAGTAGCAATGAGGATCGAATCGTCGCCCCAAGAGATGGTTATGAAAATCCATCAAATGGCGCAATTTACACACAGGTGTGCATAAGTGCTCTTCTTCGAACGTCGAAAAGTGATCTTCGTTCATATATATAGAGCATGGCGGTGAGACACGAGTAGAAGAAGTTTCAGACACAAGCTCAAAACTTGGTGAGTCCCGACTGCTATTGTGTTGAGACTCTTCACGTTTTACAAATAATTCTCTTGAGATTTCCGAGTCAGGCATCTGAATGATCTCAAAAGATTCATCTTCTTTCTCTTTTTCTTCATCCGACAAGTTTCTGTTGCAACGCGATATATCTTTGCTATTACGATTCTCGTCCATCATCTGATGTCCGGTGATGGAGCAACTCATGCGAAGTTCGTTCTCAGTTTTCAATATGTTCATAGTGTTAGAGAAACTCTTCTCACTGGTCGGTTCTGTTGATAAATTTTCTTGTCCAATCTGTATAAATGTTAAAAAATAAATTATTATTCTAAAAACCAAAAACATATTCTGAATGCAAAGTGTGAACAAATTGCTTTACTACCTTGTTGGAATTGCTATCTAAATTGTCAGTGGTTATTTGAGAGAGTTGATGCTCATCAACTGTTTTCTCAAAGCACCGATATAGTTCCAGTTTCGTATACAGCTCCATTTGCAACTGATGCAGAATTCTCATATCTTCTGCTATTAATCGTGCCATGTTTTGAGTTTTATAGGTTTTTCGAAATATTTCCCATGAAAGCGTCGATATTTCTCTTATCTGCGAATCATCTTCAGTATTCGTGTTGATTGACTCGTTTACAGGTTTAACTGAGGCGTAAACGTTACTTGATTCGTCATCTTGAGATTTTGGTTTCTTTTCATTATTTTCATTGAAAATAGAAGAATGATCTTTTGAAAGAACAAGCATATCTAACAAGCGTTTATTTAATATCTCTGTTGCGTCTTTCAGCACTTGACTGGTAATGGTGGCCACTATGTCTTTCTTCATCTGTGGAATGATAAATTTTGTTGCTATTTTATAGTTAAATATATATTATAGGATTTAGTATCGACAAGATTTTACTTGTGTCTCACAGTGTGTCTATATTACTTATTAATTCTTTTAAGAATTTGACAATTTCAACATTTTAACGTATTGTAAAATCATTTAAAATGGAAGAATAAAACTTTTGTATTGTCGACTATTTTAGTCTCGAGGTGATTGTTAATTTAAGAATACTACATCTAATGAAAACTTAAACTAAAATCAAAATGTAAAATCAAATGATACACTGAAGTTTATTAAATTTGCATAATTTTGCATCTAGTTCGAATTTACTGAATTTATACATGCTTTATTTAAACACGCATCAAATCATTTACCGATTCCATGTAAGTTGTAAACCATAAAGGAGGCGACGAAGAATGCCAATAACGAAGAACTGAAGCATTCAGTTCTTTAAAAATTTCCGTTTGAAATTTATGTTCATTTGGTGACATTTTCCAATATAAATTATTTGCAGAAAAATTACCAACAATCAAAAGAATTGTTGTATCTAAAGTAGTAGCCTTTCTTGTTAGCTAAAAACAAACAATTTGAAATAATATTTATTCAAAGAAAAAAGTGATTAATATATGATTTGATTTAATCAAGTTTCTTACATACATAAGATTATATATATATTTTTCTTATAAATATTTTTCACATACTTAACTAATCTATATACATATATGTTGATCTAAATTTTCTGTAAAATATCACACAAGTAGCACATATACCTGTAATGCTGCCTCAAATTCGCATTCCAAATTAATTGGAACCTGATCGTCATCTTCATCAAAATAAGAAATACATCTGTCGATTGGTATGCCAAAATTTTCCCACTATAACAGATACACTTGTTCAGTTGCATCTTATTTCAATTAGAAACAAAGACTATCAATAAAAATATCATTATAGAAAAAAATACATATGTACATATAACTATTATGTACAAAAGAATAATTGAGTATCTGAAACAAAAAGATAAACAATAATTTATCGAGTTAAAAATTGTTTTAATTTTTCAATTATGGTAGTCGTCTTCTATTTCTATATACTTTAACCAATGCTTCTTAAGAGCACTTATATCAGACATAAGAATGATTTTTCAAACTTTTAAAAAAAACATGATTATATCGTCAAATAAAACAGTAATTTGAAGGCACCTGTCTTGTAAACTTTAACTATTACAACAGTTGAAGTGTGAGCTGGTACATTTGTCAAAAATCACTGAGAGTGTTTATTCTTGGCGAGCTGTCATATAAACATTAAAAGCCATAATAAGCCATTTGACATTTGTTGTTTTGGAAGATCAAACTTGCTCAACAGTAGCAATGTGATTATTGTCATTGTGCGTTTTTCGAACTTATCAGTCATTTTTTATATACATACATACATACACAATATTAATATTATACAAAATGGTATTAACATACTCAAATTCTATGAGAAGATTTTTATATTCAAAATCATAGAACATTTTTAAACTTCATTCTTTATCTTCTTTTAATTGAGAAAAGCAGAATAGATGTTTTTTTATATAAATAATCATAGTTTTTCACATGACGGAGATATGTATATATGACCCCGACGCCATGATGACGCCGAAAAACGTACCGTCCAAAAGACACAAAAATACCATTTTTAATATTTTGAAAACGAAGCTGAATCCGTTTGTCAATGTAAAAACTTAAGTGAAAAAAAAAAAAAAAAAACTTACGAGCTTAGTCCTTAGTAGTTGTAAGTCGCAATTATCCGAGCGTAAAATGGAAAAGAGTTCGTATTTGGTTTGGTCTGGACTTTCCTTCACTCGAAAGCAATCATAATTCGACAAATCTATCATTGCTGAAAAATCACTTGTCGTCGTTGTCATAATTCTCGGATGTTCTTTTCCTTCAAAACGGACTATAACTTTGGAGTCTTCACATAACCGAGCTGAGTTTGATTTGTGAAACTAACGACGAAGTAACAATCAAAACGTATTAACTGCAATCAGCTGTAAGTGTTGACGAAACAAGAGTATGTATATACATATACTTATTACGACATATATATATATATATATATATACTCAATGCGTAGAAACTTCTGCGCGCACACAGGACGTTTCAATAATCGTCAACTATTGGCTCGCATCAGCTTTAACACGAGAAGCTGCTAGAAGTAAAGATCATAGCCAATCATTCCGTTGTTTATTCTGTGAAAGCAAAATGCTGATTGGCTACCGCGTAACACGGTATATGTAGACTGCGGTCCGTTTCATGCTTAAGCGCACATTTATCTATAGTATACGTGACATATAGTGGCAACGCTGTCAGCGTAAATATAGGCCCTATTTCGTCATGGTGTATAAGGCTGCGTTCGGAAACATCACTCGTGTATATTTTATCTTTGTTGCTCATTATATATAAAACAAAGATAGAATGACGCTCGTGTGTACGCGAGTGTTGTTTCCGAACGTGACGTAAGTAATCTATAAGATACGTAACGTGAACCTATAAATTTTCAGTACTGCCAGTAATAACAGAACAGAAGGGGAAGGGGGATAGTTGCTACCAAAGCACAGAAGCTGGCAGAGAATCTGGCGTCTGATTACAATTTTCTCGTGGGCCTGGCCGCTGTCAGTCTTTATGATATTTATGATAAACAAGTTTTTGAATAATGATTATGGAATCGTTAGACGAACACTTAGAGAAGTTGACGGGCTATGTATTTGACAACGACAAGCTGGTAATTAGGATTATTAATATTAAAGCAAAAATTGATAAATGTACACATATGTATGTATGTGTTTATATATGTGCACGCAAACGATAAATTAAAATTTAATAAATTGAATTTTAACTTTTTTTAGGTTACTTATAAGTGGTTAAGCAAAGAGTTAAAAGTCCACGTTAATATAGCGAAACAAATTCTATGGAAATTTTATCACCAATACCACGAAAATGGTGATATTGAATGCACGTATTTATTAATGGGCCTTTTAAAGGATAACAAAATGCGTGTGGAAGTTGTCAAGGAGTCTAATCTATCTGAAGCCAAAGAAAAGTATAGCAAACTCATCTCGGAACATCTGTACAGTGTTCACAAATCTCTTGAAAATCTGGAACTGCTTGCTGACTCTAGTTCTGGGGATATAAATTACAGTGCGATTAAATGTGATGCTTGCAAAGAGCGAAGTGATGATGAAATGTATTTGTTACGTTGGGGTACAGCTGTGAATAATATTACGGTAGAAAATACCTCAACCTCAACTTTCACAGATACTGGAAATTCAGCGAAACCTGAGAAGAATTCAATAAAAAAAAATGGATTTAACACCTTATATAATATGAAGGGAAAGAAAGCCAAAAATTTAAAAGAATCAAATACATTTATCCAAAAGAAATGATATCAATAAGTAGCACCAAGTAAAATCTTGTATACATTTATCCAAAAGAAATGATATCAATAAGTAGCACCAAGTAAAATCTTGTATACATTTATCCAAAAGAAAGACAAAGAATCAATGAAAGCTAATAAAGACACTGACATTGATGAAAATGTAATAAAAAACAATAAAGATACAGGAGAGGAAAATAATATTACGTCAATAAAAAATGTGGAAATAATAGAAGAGAGAGAAAATTCTAAAGAAAAAGATCAAACGTCTCAAAAAAATACAAATCTTTCTAAGATTGAGAACTCCAAAGAAAAAGTATCTAAAATCAATTCAACCACGAAAAAAGTTTCATCAAAAAATACCAAAAAAGAAGGACTAGGTAATTTTTTCAAAAAGCTTACATCTCCACCTAAGTCTGCAGAAAACATATCACCAAAAGAAAAAAATGATAAGACTAAAGAAGAAACTGAAAAAAATAAAGAACAGGTAGACAAAAATAAAAAAGATAAAAAAAAGAATTCACGTGGAAAAAAGCGAAATAGGAGCAAAGAAACTGATAATGCCGCTATAAAACGAAAGAGGATTTTTATTCAAAGTGATTCCAGTGATTCAGAAGAGCAAACTGATGTGGAAATGGAAGAAGCTTCTCCAGAGGAACTCGAGCCCGAAACTCCTGCTAAATCGAAAAGTCCTCTCGCAAATGTGAAACATGAAAACGGCAAGAAAAAGATGTTGAAGTTAGTCAACAAAACTTACAAAGAGGGTGATTATATTGTGACGAAGAAAGAACATGTTTATGTAAGCTGTTCTGATGATGAGGAGGAAAAAAAGGAAGACGAGAAGAAAAGACAAGCGAAGAAAGTGGAATCCAAGCAGACAATGAAGAAAAAGCAAGCCATGTTAACAGACTTTTTCAAGAAATCTTAGAACTGTGTTTGTGAATTTCACGTTTTCCAATCAACAAGCTTATCCTATTTGTTGTATGTGCCTGCATAAGTAGCAAAATATATATAAAGACAGATTGTTTTTTAAGTATTACATGTGTATTGAAAACTTATTAATATTTAAAAATAACATAATATAAAAATTTTAGAAAGAAACAGTTAAATAATTAATGAAAATAAACTTAAATCAAGAGGTAGGACTTTGTAGCCATATGTTAAATGCGCGAAATATATTTTTTTAACATGTGTGAATTAAATACATAGTAAATTATATACATAGAGATTCGAATTAGAATAATAAATTTAAAATTCATATAGGATGTTATTTTGCAATTGTATATGTGAATTATTTATTTAACTTTTTTTAATAAAATTTAAAAAATTTCATTGTAGCCCTTACGAAAAAGAACTACTTTACCGAGATTACATACAAATAAAGTCAGTAATGTAAATATTACTGACATTTACGTAAGAATATTATTAGGTATTACAGGAATATCACTGAGAATATTACTGGCAATTGCACAGAATGCCAGTAATTTTTTCGTATCACTGCTGCGATATATTACTGCCAGTAGTTCTTTTTCGTAAGGGAGAAAAAACATCTTGGTCAGAAATCGAACTTGGATTTCTCGCATGCATCTCTTTTCACATTGAGATTTTTTAAATTTCATTAGGGAGTTAAATAAGTAATTTATAAGTATAAGTATACAGGGTGACAAAAAAGTACTGGAACATCTGAATAACTCGGAAAATTATAAGTTTGATAAAAAAATGTTTCAAACAAAAGTTATAGGGCTTAAAAAGATCTATTTACTGATCTTATCAATTTGACCGTAGGTTGACATTGAAAAAATCAGATCAAGGTTACATCAATTTTTTTAATGGAACATTCTAAAATAAAATAGCTTTATATATATATATATAGCTATTAGTCTTGTGTAACGTTTTAATATATTTAAATAAATAATATATATTAAATAAATAATGAATTCTAATTTCTTCAGTATGGTATCGCTCGTAACTATGTGTTCCGTATTTAGTACGAAACCCTCTATAAGCATGCTTAAAACATTGCATCTTGCAAATGCATCCTTATAAAATAACAACACATTGCTAACTGAACGCGCTATGACAAAACGTGTGGAATTTTGCGAGACGATAAATGCAATGTTTGAGGATGGAGAACTTGATGAAAAATTAATTGTCTTTACAGATTAGGCACATTTCTGGCTAAATGGTTATGTAAATAAACAAAACTATAGATTTTGAGGATCAAAAAATCTCTACGTTTCTCTGGCTAAATCTTTACATCTACAAAAAATAACGGCACAAGCTGCGATCTCGGTGGAAGCAATTTATCTGCAATTTTTTGAATTAACAGTCACTGGTGAAAGTTACAAGCAGCTTCTCGAAAATAAATTCTTCTCTTACGCAAAAAAAAGAAGCCTAATCAGAAGATTTCATTTCATGCGGGATGGAGCGACACCACATCAAACCCAGGTTTTTAAAACAATCCATAAAAAGTTTACGACACCCGAGTCATTGGTCTGGGATACCCCAAATTTGCTCAAAGAGATCTAGAATAGCCACCATATTCACCGGATTTCAATTCATGTGATTTTTTTCTTTGGGGTTACATTAAAGATCACCGTTATGTCGGAAATCCAAAAACAGTGCCAGATTTAGCAGCAGCTATTAGAAACGTTGTTAGAAACATTGCAGACGATATGTTAGAAAAAGTTTTTACGAGTTTTTATAAAAGAATTGAGTTTTGTACAAATTCAGACGGCGCGCATATTTGAAAATATTTATCATTAGCTTACTTCAGTATTTTATATCGTATTTTCTATCAATAAGATAAATTGTTAACGCAAACATTTTACTAAATTTTATTTATACTCACTAAAAGCTACAAACTTTTCTCTTTTCTGTGCAATTTTTGTTTTTCCAATAACTCAATACATTCGAAAATGACAGTTTATTAGTTTTTTTTAACATATTCTTGTGGGATACCCTATATATAAACTTCTGTTCTCATTCAAACGATCTTTTCGATTACTTTTGTCTTTCAAATTTTTATCAAACTTGCCGAAAGAATACCTCGAGCTGTAGGAAGTCCAGCTCGTATTCAGTTTTAAGTTTTAATCAATTTTGCAGTTCTGACGAGCACCATCGACTCTCAGTCCTTAATAAAGTATTTCATAGAAAATATCTTGCCCAGCAAACACAAAGTAACAGTTACGTAATATTAATGTTATAATTTCCCACTCAACAATGTAACTGCTACGTACAAGGCATGTTACATTGCAGTTACATAATTGAGTGGGAAATTATAACATTAATGTTACGTTACTGTTACTTTGTGTTTGCTGAGTGTACTTGTATATTTATTACGTGGCTTTCTAGTTTTCAGCACGTAACAACGAGCGTTAACACAGTCATCAACCGTGTGACTGTCTCGACAAATCCGCAGCTTATTATGACTCTGTTCGGTTATTACTGGCAGTATTGAAAAATCTACAGGATTCGTAACGCAAACCTATAAATTTTTAGTGCAACTTATAGATTTAATGCAACGAAAATGTTTTTGTCAATTCAGTATCAATATGCTGGGTTTTATTGTCGAGCAGCCGTTGGAACAATTGTTGTAGCCAATGTTTATGGCAATTGAGTCAGCAATATGTGAGCAATGATTTATTCCATTGATGATGAAAATAAGTTGATAAAAATTTACTTTAAGTTTATTATCAATAACTTGTTGGAAACTTGCCAATAAAACTCAGCATATTGATACTAAATTGACAAAATCATTTTTGTCGCATTAAATGAAAAAGCAATTCGTGAGCAACTTAATCTATACAAATGATGTGTGCTTTATATTGAGGTTTCACGTTTGGCTTATCTGGGCTCTTGCGCACCGTATTCCTTTGTAATAGTTCAGTGTGAGAAAAAGATACTTTATAGAATAAACAATTTATTTTTTTAATAAAATAATATAATACACATATAATCTATATAATTTATATAGAAGGTTTTTTTTATAGAGGGTTGTTTTTACATATTCTAAATATAATTGTTTTGATCAAGTAAGAAGTAAGAATAAGAATTTTGTATAATATTTGCTCATACTCTTTTTAAATAGACATTACAGATGTGTCTGTGTGTGTGTGACAGGACAAGATATTGTATATTAACTTTAATATGCGATACATTAAAGATTCAATTAATTTAAATTCAATTGACATAAATATTATAATAATCTCCTATTCTCCAGGATCGATACACGACACGCACAATCATACTACAAATTTGTCTATTTGTATAGATTGTCCTTTCATAGTGTTCTTATGCCTCTTAATTTATATTGATGTGATAATATGATACATGTCGTATAATATAATTAGTGTGATAATATAATACACATGTCATAGAGTGTTGACAGAAGACTAGAAACATATATATATATATAGATTCACATGCTTTAACATATCGTCACACTCATCAGCTGATGTATACAATTAATAACATATTATGTGTGTGCAATATATGGGAAAAGGAAGAATTTCATTTACGAGGTTTTACGTCACTTTGTTTTTTTTTTCCATTATCCACAACATGTTGAGTAGGAGTTTTTTTTAGCTCTATATATCTACAAACGCAAGACAGAGCATACATCTATAACAGCTAAAATATATTATTTATAGATATCTGATAACTTGCTAAAATAAATAGTCTGTATTTGTGACTTAGATTATAGCATTTCTCATAGATTCTCTTTACATAGCTAACAATGACGATTATTTTATAAAAATAAAATATATTGTCTTTTTAAGCCAACAAATATAAGTGTGTATGTGTGTCCTGTGTGTACATATGTCTATCCATCTTTCCATGAGATATCTGCGATAAAATAAAAAGTTATTCGACATATCGCAGTGGTTTTTATTTCTTTTATAAAACTAATATATTTTTTACGTGAAATGTTATATGGTGTATTACTTTTATGCTTGTTATGTATAATCTTCTAAGAAAAATTTACAGAAGTTTTCGGTTTCTGTGTGATATACGTAACTTGTATATAATTATATAATAATATATATATATATATGTATATACATACACATACACATATATATATAGCTCTATATATATATGTATATATATATGTATATATATCTAACCAATAGTAAATAGATTCAAAAAACAGCGTTGTAGACTGCTTTTTTAAATTAGTAGCTCTTGTTTTTATACTTTCGAGGAAGCGTGTCTCGGACAGTAGACACTGATGCATCATACAGTGCACAATACTCAACAGACATCTCATTGAACATTTGTGTTCTATCAGAAGCAGTCCATCATTTATATGCCCGACCGATAACGAACTATAGAAAAATAATGATAACTATTTTATGTTATGAAAGTACAAACTATAATACGTCATATAAATGACGTTTAGAAAAACTGGGTGTTCTGAGATGTGGCATTGTTTGTCGATCGATTCCTTTTTCTTTCAAGTGCTATTTTTCTCTTGCTCGTAAAAAGCCGCAACGGTTTAATATATCAGTATTAGAAATACCAATGTGTGTGTGTGTGCGTTGTCGTTTTACGCGATACAAGAAAAAAGACGATACAGGTTGTTTCTTTTTTTTTAATGCTGTTTATGTGTGAGGGATATGAATAACAAAAGTAAACTCTCTCTGACACTTTTGAATCGCTCCTGAAAATAAAAACTACATTGACGTTTCGCAAGATTGATTGAGCGATTCAAGTTCGCGATTGTTACAATACGTATGTACCAAATCTATTCGCATAACATCCGCTTTAACACTTGTTAAAATTTTTTGTTCACTGATCTCTAATTTTATTTAAAAGCAGATATTTTAATTTAGATATTTTTTTTGTTTTATACTTCCGAAAAATAACATCGGTCTTTCTGGCACCGAGATATCAATCTAACATCTTTGCTCTTTTTTTTTTTTCACTCTTTGTGAAACTCATCGATCCTCGCGTCATAAATATTAAAACTTCATAATCAATATATAATACAGAAACGTTTCCGATATGGTTATATTAATATGAGCTCTAAGCACCAGGGAAGATATTTCCGTGTTTGCGCACGTGCGATTTATTTTCTCTACTTTACTGAAACTATATGTGGTCCTCTTCTTTGTTGTTGCCCTGCGTTGCCGGTGTTGCCGGGGTGGGATCGTCATGAAACATCGGATTCTTCACTTCCATCTCGCCCGTCTTTAAACATAGCAAATCATCGAATATCGTTCTTAAAATACAATAATATAATCGCAATTGGGATTCTGACGAAAAAAATCATTGATTCTTCTAAATTTCCGAGATAATAATTATTGTATCTTGATTGTTTATTTACGTGTAATAAAACTTACAGAAGCAAGTCCGGGGCACTCGTAAACGGTGTAGTCACCTTCCTCGTTCTCTTCGTCGCTTTCTGCTTCTGAAAGCGAACCCGGATCTCGCGTTGCAGAAGTGCGACTGCAACAAATATATTATTGCTCTTGTCATTTATTATAATTTTATAAATGAGTTTTTTCTAATACGTATTTATTACACAGTTTGTCCGGAAAGTTCCCGGACTACGTGAATTAAAAATCGAAAATGAAAGATATGGTTTATTAAACAAGTTTACACTTCAAGGTAG